AAGGGTCAAGGGACAATACAGGAGTAGAAGACCCAGGATGAGGTGGTTTAACACAATAACTGGGGTAATGAAGGTAGGTATGTCAGAGACAGTGAGATTGGCTCAGGAAAGAGCAGAGTTGAGAGAAATTGTGCATAGAGCCACTATGAGTCATAGTAGCACATAACAACAACAGAATCAGGGAAAGAATGTCAAATATTGCCTTAACTTTTAACCTAAATAAAATTAATATTTATATCAAGAAATACATATTCTCTACTTGTAAATCATGTAAAATTTACTTAGTCAAGTTAAAAGGATAATAGCTAAGACAAACTATAGAGAGGGAGAAGGAGAAATTGTTATAAAGATACTGGAATAGGCAGAGTGGCACACAGAGAATGAGCAAGACAGTAGGAATTTGCGTGAGAGTTGTTATTAAAAAAATAGTTAGGGAGCTACAGAAGTAGAGAGCTGAGCCCTAGGAGCCATCAGCCAAGCCACTGTGGGACCCACCTCCAGGAACAAGCAGGACAAAGAAATTTGATAGAGTTTCCTTAAAACCTGCCGGACCAAGAACTCCACTGGGTGAGAGCCGTTGGGTGAGAACCAAATAGCTAAAATTTGAATGAGGACCCCAAGAAAGCCTACTTGGAAAGCTAGAATCTGAGTGATTCTTGTGCTTGCCACGTGCCCATAGCTGCTCCATGCCCATTCTGCCCTGCACCTGTGCCTCTACATCCAGTGAACTAACTTGACTTTGTACAGAGAGCCTTGGCCTGACTTAGCTGCAACAAGCTGTTCTCACAAGCCCTGAACTAAATCATCTCTTAGGTCAGAAACTCAGAGAGAAACATGGGCAGGACAGCTGCCCCACTCTCTTCTAGAGCAATGACTTCAGATCAAGAACTTATCATCTCCTCAGACATGAAAAACTCTACTATAGCAATGTCATGTAAGAAGCAGGCTAGCTCACACCCTATACAAAGGCAAAGCAAGATGTCACCCTCAAAGAGTGACACAGTATCAATGGATTTTTTTGAAGCCAAAGATCTGATGGAACATTCTAACACATAATTTAAAAGAACAATGACTGAATATTTTCAATGGGTAAAAGGCAAACTTGAAGAATTACAGGACACTGAAAGCAAAAGATAAAAAAATGAGGATAATACAAACAAGGCATTAAAGCTCTGGAAAAACAAGAAACCATTATGCAAAATATGAGGTCCAATGTTTCAGATGCTGTCAATCTGATGGAGGGACACATGAACAGAGTTGAAGAGATGGAACACAAAACCAGGAAATAGAAGATATAACTGTCACCACTGATCTGCTAGAGCAAAAAGCAGAATCAAAAAGGAAAGAAAAAGAAGAAAACATGACAATAATGTGGGACACCATCAAGCGAAATAACATGCACATCATCAGAATCCCAGAACAGGAAGAAGCAAGTAAAGGAACCAAAAAAGTTGTGGAAGAATTACTAGAAGAAAAATTTACCAGCATAATGAAGAATGACAGAATATATATTCAAGAAACTGAATGAACACCATATAGCATAGACTCCAAAAGAAAAACAACAAGGCATATCATAGTCAAATTTGCCAGAACCAAAGATAAGGAGAGAATTCTGAAAGCTGTACAGTGGAACGGACTGGAGGGGGGAGGATTCTATATCAATGAAATAATTTCATTTATTCATTTTTTTTAACTTTTCAAAGAGAAAAGTGAACTGGGGGGGGAGGGTGGGCAGGGATAAAAGTGTGCAACAATGAAGGAATGGAAATCCAAAGTCTCTGTAAACTTTCATAAAAATTACATATGCACACCCATGTTTATTGTGGCTTTGTTCACAACAGCAAAGAGTTGGAAACAACCTAAATGCCCATCAACAAACAAATGGATAGAGAAGCTCTGGTATATTCACACAATGGAATACTATGCTGCATTGAAAAACAAGGAACACATGCAGTATTATTCAAATGGGTGACCTTGGAGGACATTATGCTGAGTGAAATATCTCAGTCACAAAAGGACAGGTGCTGCATGGTGCCACCATTGTAGAACGGTACAGACATCAGGGTTGGAGTGAGACTGAGAAAAATTGGATAAATTATGCATACTGCATTGAAACAGATGAGGGAGAGAACTGTTTGAAAGTGATATATGATTGGGTAATACGGTTATGACAAGAGTCCAGAATGAAGGTTGCGTAGTAGAGTGTACGTGGGGCGGTAGAGGGGTTTCTATACAAATGAAATAATTTTTGTTTTACTTTTCAAAGAGAAGTGCGAACTGGGGGGAGGGGTGGGCAGGGAGAAAAATGCAACAATGAAATGTATGGAAACCCAAAGTCTCCGTAAATGTTCATTAAAATAAAAAACTTAATAAAAAAAGATTATTTGATGTCAACATACTAAAAAAAAGGATACTGGAATAAAAGTGGGAGATAATAGTGGTATAGACCAATGTACTGGCAGTGGATATGTTGAGAAATTGTCAGATTCTATATATATACTTTAAAGCTAGAATCAATAGATTTGAGAGACTAGACAGGGATGATTGCAAGGCCTTTGGCATCAGACACTTAAAGAAGAGAGTTGTTATCAACTGAGATAGTAAAGGTCATGCGTAGTGTATATCTTAAGGAGGAAGGAAAGATCTTATGTCTTAAGGAGGGAGGAAAGATCCAGATTTCAATTTCAGTTATGTTAGGTTTGAGTTATCTACCGGTAATCCAAATATAACATCTTCCTAATTAATGAGATATGACTGAACTCCCTTTGTAAGATCATAGAAAGAGACAGCTAGCATCAGAATCAAACAGGGAAGTGAAAAGCAAGGAATTATTATATCCTTATTGTTAGGAACAGAACAGTGGGATTCTGAGATTTCCTCTTTATTCCTAGTGATACTATGAAAAATGAATCTGAACCTTGGTCAATGTTATGTATTCCTCATCATCTCTGACATAGACCACCATTACAATCATTATGTCAATTGATCTTATTGAGGGTCTTCCTCTGTTTCACTGATCCTCCACCTTTCCAAAGCATGATATCCTTTTCCAAGGACTGGTACCTCCTAACAACATGCCTAAAAATAATAAAAATATGTGAGACAAAGTTTCACTATTCATACCTCCAAGTAGCACCATGACTTTTCCAAAAGTACTTTTTCCAAAGCATTAGTTGTTTAGTGCTTGGGCAGTCCCCGAGATATTCAGCATTCTTCTCAACACCACAAATCAAAGGTAATAATTATTCTGTTATCTGGATTCACTACTATCTTTCAGGTACATATCAAGTAACTGAAAATAATTTGGGTCATGTGCATCTTATTCTTCAAATGGATATCTCTCCTCCTCACCACTCTGGGGAGGTCCCTGACAGCAAACTATGTCAATGAAATAAGTCTTTTGCTATCCTGGCTAATGATGCCAAGGGTGTTGATTGTACATCCAAGCAAGATAAAATTATTGATATTTTCTATTTCTTCCCTATGTATCATGATGCTGTGTACTGGCCTGGTGGTAAGTTTTGTTTTCTTGATTTTGTGATGTAATACATATTGAAGGTTATAGTCATTTATCTCCTGCTGCAAGCACTTTAAGTCCTCCTCATTTTTTTCAGCATAACGCAGGATGGAGATAAATTTTCCTCTAATCCTAACACCACATTCTTCTTCATATAATCCAAATTCTTGAACAATTTTTTTCTGTACACATATTGAATATGTATGGAGAAATAATACAGCCTTGACACACATCTTTCCTGATTTTAAAACATGCAGTGTACCCATGCTATGTTTGTATAACAGCTTCTTAATCTATGTATAGGGTTCAAACGAGCAAAGCTAAGTGTTCTTGTACTTCCATTCTTCTCAATGTTAGCCATAATTTGTTATGATCCACACATTCAATAGCTTTTTCATAGTAAATAAAATGCAAATGGACATCTTTTTGCTATTCTCTGCTTTCAGGCAAGATCCATCTGGCTTTAGCACAAGATTTCTAGTATAAGGTAATTATCCCAAGTGCTGTAATTCTCAACCTCGATGATGTCACTATAGAAAGGTTGTTTGTTGTTGATTGCCATCGAGTCGAGCATGAGGCATAGTGACTCTATGAACAAAAGACCTAATGCCTTTTCATAACTGTCGTCATTTCACCAAGTGCATAGAGTTTCCAGAGGCATGCGGTTTAGGAAGTGGATGCCACTACTGCTTCCCAACTGGTTTTACATCTGGGAGCTCTAGCAAATACTTTCCATATTTGGAAGCCATTCTGGTATTTGATACCCCAATGGCACAAGATTCAGCATCACAGCAACCCAGGTTACTTCACACTGCACATTGACAAAGGGTAATGTACAAAATGGATGCGTGTTCCTCCAGATATAATAGCACTAGCTTCACTTGAGAGTGGTTTAGTGTCATCAAGTCAAATACAACTGAGAGTAAGTTTTGCATAAAAGATCTAAACTCTGTTCTATGACTAACATCATTTCTGTACAGAATTCTATTCTATAACTACCATCATTTCTGTACATTTAAAAAGTTTACAGAGTTTTTAAGGTTTCCAGAGGTATTTAGCTTTAGGAAGTGGATGCCACTATTACTTCCTACCGTAAATCAATCTGGAAGCTCATCTAAACACTACATAATGGATAAACATTATGGTATTTGACAAGACTATGGAACAGTGTGCAGCATCACATCAACACCAAGTTGTTTGTTCAGCAAATAGACAAAAGATTGCTGTGTCATTCAAGGAATATGCATTCAAAAATTAATAAATTTGGCCCTCGAGCCCTGCAGGGTTTTAAGCCAAGGCCTTTGAGCGGATTTACACCCTAGGCAAGGCTCAGGGATGCCTGCTCTTGGGGGGCGGGGGGAGCAATAATACACATCAAACACGACCCCAAAAAAGCACAACCTCCAAAACTTCCCTTCATTTGCCCTCCAGACAAGCACCCGCAAGCAGCAAAAAGCCACATGCCCAGAGTGGAGTCTTCCAGGCCTACCTCTGCCTTAGAGGCAGTTATGTAATAGCAGTCATTCCTCATGATGTGATCTGAGATGCAATCAGCCCATCATGTTGTAAGGTAAGTAGAGTAACTTGCAACATCCTTAATTAAGTAGGTCACAGCCCTGAACTTACAAAAAGGGAGTTTTCTTGGTATGTGACCTATATCCTATACCAGTTTATCTTACAAGAAATAGGAGAGGTAAAACAAGTAACAAGCACAAAGGGGGATCTCAGTATCACCAAGTGAGTAGACTATTACTCTCTAGAGTACTCTACTAGGAGTAGAGTAGATTCTTTAGATCCAATTCCCTATGCTGGGTGTAAAAAAGAGCTAAAGCCATACAGGGGCAGCTATATCTGGCCTTTACCAACTCCACAAAGGACACTGTCCCCTACAACAACATCAACAACACAAAACCAATTCCCATGAAATCAGACATCTTGCATGCTCTCACACCTTTCTACTCATCCCAGTACCAATCTTACTACTTTACTGGGTCTAAAATCTGGTGGGATAGCTTATAGACTACACAGAACCATATTAGAAGAGTCAAAAGGCTTTAATTTAGGTTAGTAACAGAATACAATCACTCAGTCAAAACAGCTTCAGAAATGTGCTTGCAGGAGCCTCAGCCTTGAGTCTTGCATGTTTAGGCCATTATTACAAATCTCCCTGTGCTGCCAATTATGGCTCCCCTCCTTCCCCACCTAGGCTGACCAAGAAACTTAGGCAAAGGCTTCTATTTCTGGTTCAGTGGCATGGTGGTCCCAAGGCACTCCATCTCATATTAGGTGTTTGGTTCTTTTCTGAGTTTGATATGGCTGTTGCTCCTATAGGCTCTGGTATGTGTGGCACAGGAATCTTTGACCCCAAAGGACATGTTACATTCTCTTGCTTCTCCTTTGCTTGTGCTAAAATTCTCAAATTCTACTCCTGGGTCCACTCAATTTAATGGTGAGTCTAGCCAATCCCCTTGTGGATTGGTAAGACTAGCCAAACCCCTACGGGTAGGTTGACACATCCTATTAGAGTATTCCCACTCACCTACATGGCAAAGACAGTTAATGGCTAGAAAGTAATTCTGAACAATAAACCCTTAACAGCACACAAGGAAATTTCTTGATACAGAGGAAGGCCACATTGGATGGAAAGCTCCAAGGAACGACAGGCTTATGGATACTAAAGAAGTCAAGGACATTCTTCCAGAACTTACTCAGTGAGAAAGTCTTCCTCTAAATCCTATACCCTGAATTTGGATATACAGCTTTCTAAACAGAAAATAAATTCCTGTTTGATAAAACTCATGCCTTTGTGGTATCTGCTATAGCA